GATCCCGGGCTCCGACCCAGGCGGCCGGGCGGGCAGCTTGGGGAAGCCACGGAGCCTTCGGCGGAGACTGGAAAAGCAGAATGCAAACGACACTGCCCGGCCATTCCGGACACTCCCGGGGGCCTCTTTCCACGGTGACTTGGTGCCGGGAGCCTGTTTCAGATATTGACCCCTCCTGGGGTCTCTCCGGTTAGCAATCGCTAGGTCGAAACATTTCAAGGAGGGATCTTGCGGGAACTGCCACCACTGTGCACTTAGCCGAAACCGGCAGGGCTCAAATGGCAGTGATGTCTCTTGACCCGAACCTCTTCAACCCTCCCTTTTCTAATAGGACTTTCTCCAGTGGACTCGATGAACGATACAAAGTTTTGGAAGGGTTGAGAACTAGAGTCTGTTTTACAAGAGGGGGAGGGGCAAGCCCCTGTGCTTTCCTTGAACTAAAACTGGAGATAAGGCAAACCCTACTTTCATCTGTACGCTAGTGAGAATAAGTAAAGAATCATGTGACCAGCCCATTCCCAATGCTAAACCAACACCTAGTCAACGCGGAGTTGCGATAGGAGGGGAAAACAAATGTCCCTTTCTCAGCAAGGTGTCCATACAAACTCTCACAGGATGAAATGATACACCCAACGGATCATATATTACAGAAAACGCTTCATGAGGAACTGCCAGGAACAGTACACGGGTGGACAGGCTGGGGTGTCAATTACTTTTGCTAGTGTTCCTGGAAAAAGCAGTTATCACTTCATTTCAGAAGTTGACGTTATGACTGTTTCTAGAACTGTCTGAAAAGCATTGTGAAAGCTGCCTAGAAGAGAAATCAAGGACCTTGGAAACCTTGAAAGATCCGCCTAAGGTTAATTTTTAGGGAATGTTAATGAAGAAGAAGGGGATACCAATGAACACAACTCAATGGTTCAAGTTAAGGAATACTTGAAAGAAGAGGGGTCGGAGGAGCAGGGGGCACTTCTCTTATAAAAGTGCCCACGGTGGCAACCAGAGACCTCAACTAGAAAACTTGTGTGACTCCTCAATTATCTTGGGATTACTTTTTCAGAAGGATACTGTCAAAACTCTGTGGCTATAAATCTAAGTGGGGCTGAAATGGAGTTGTAGGTAAAGTCCTAAAGATACCCAGTATTATTTAAACTCAATTGTATATGGCTTTAAAACGGCCAGTCTCCCTGGTTCTTAAAGGAAACTCTCTTTGTGAAATCTCTGTTTTCCTAGAAAGATAGTTAGCAAGATGATCTGACTGAAGTGTCTGACTGAAAGCCTATCACACTAACGTCATCCATCATGAAGTTTAAGGAACGCCAATAAACTAGCTACCTTATTTCTCCTCTGCCTTACAGTAAAAATAGCACCCAAACACAAGACACACAGAACCCTGGGGAGAGGGTTATCTATTTTGCTGGCTTTTGAATGTTTAAGTCACACATACTTGACTAAAACCCTTTCAAATTCATCTTAAGTCTTAATTCACACAATTCCTCCCCCACAGTTCAGAAGAATCTGGCCACAATCCCATCACCATTTATAATGCTAATATGTATCACATTGTTACTTATATAGAAATCACTTCTTATCCTGTTTGAAACATTTTAAAAGTCCCAGCAACCTAATGAAGACATCCAAAACATTTCTTGACTCGTCTGATTTGGCTTGAAGAACCACCTCTTGGACCTTAGAGATGAAAACCTTCTGGATTCCACCACACACCAAAAAAAACGCCAGTTAAGCAAGTAAACTACACAAAACAGGCAAAGGTAAAAATATTCAATATTTAACACTTGCCACTACAACACACCCAGTTGGGGCTGTCAGTTTAGTGGGAGGCCTAACCTAAGTAATGTCAAAATGAAGGAAAACAGAAGCAAGTTCTTTAATGAACAATCAGCTTGAGTATTTGCCATCTAAGAAATGCAAATGAACTCCATAACCCCAGTTTGCATTTACAGCTCAACACAACCAATGCCAGTAATAAGCTAAGTTGGGGTTAACCTGACTCCTAAGAAAATGTTTGCCTGTTTGGGACTTATAGTTATCCAATGTAGTTAACTACTCGATTTTCTTATGTGAAGGAGTGGTGGTAGGGTGTGTATACATACACACATCCATACTGGCACACCGATTTAAAGATGCTGTTACTAGGAATACAATTTGCACAGGTAGGTTGTTTTCAAATAAGTTTCACTGAACTTTGGGGCAGGGGCATGAGAATGAACTCATTTGTTTTTTTTAAAGGCTTCATTTTGCTCATAAAGTCAACATCTTAAAGAGATGTCTGATGCCTCCACTTTGAAATACAACTCAAATTTCTAATATATACTCTCAAACTTGGCCTATGTATGGGTCAGCACTTGGCACCCTAAGCATCAAGTCATCATGTTTCCAGAACTTTGGTGCTGTCTTCGCTGCCCATAACATTCTAAGTACCAACAACCTCTAGCTTGGATTTCGAGAAATACACTTGCAATTTTGGCGACTTTGAGAGGAGGGGTTAATACAGTCCACTCTTCCAAATACTGAACTAGGACCACTAAGCCCACCAAATCCTTTTTACTGCAATTGGGAATGATCAAAGCCTCTCTACTTGGTGATTCTCAATTATCAAGTGTAAATCTCTGGGGGAAAGATAGTGCAGTAACGCTGTCAAGCCCCAAAGGCTGCGTAAACACATTGCCACGAACTTTTCGGTACGCTCCTCTCCCAAAGCATCCTTTTGCCACATGACCTATGTCAACACGCAGCCAAACCTAAAAGACGCGGTGAATTTAAGTCATGATTCTAATTGCACACCAAAGCAGAGGCTGGGAAAACAATGGTAGTTTTCTGAGAGGAAGAAAAAGGGGGGAGCAAAGAGAGAAAGGAATCTCATGCAAGACTAACGTCCAGTCACCATCGTCACTCCTACAAAATGCTCCAAATTCGCAGCGCCCACTTCCCAGAAATCACCTCCCAAGTGATCTCTGGACAACTTACCCAGGACGCCCAACAAAGACCACCTTCAAAACTTTACCATTTTAAATACAATTGCAGGAGACCTTGGAAACGACTGGGAACCGCCATCTTACGAGCCATTCAATTTCATACAAGTGTTCCTCCAACTTAAGTTAATAACATTTTTGTGCCGGCTCTCTCCCAGCTAACACCCGCCTCGGCGGGACCCCTGCACCCCGCAGCACCCGTTCCTATAAAATGGGGGCGTTCTCTGGCCGCTGAAACCCCCTAAAAGCCCTTTCTCCGGGAGAGGAGGGGAGCCACTTGACCCAGGCAGCTCCCGATTTCAGGAGCCCGTGCCCGTTCCATCAAAATCTACGTCTCAACAAAGGGCGCTGCGGCCGCGAGGGCTGCCGAGGCTGCAAACAGGAGGGCTCTGCTCGGGGGCCATGTGCGTCGCGAGGGCGTCG